CGAGTCAGGCCTTCTCGTTCAACATCAGTATCTGACCTCACAATTGCACTTCTGGGAGAATTGTCAAACATTCCCATAGACACACTCCTAAACCTTCTGGACAGCCTTCCCAGAAGAGTTAAAGCTGTAATAGCTGCACAGGGTGGGCCAGCTCAATATTGAACCCTACGGACTAAGACTGGGATGTCATTAAAGTTTGTGTGTGTAAAGGCTGGCATCCCAATACTTTTGGCAATATAGTGTATCTATTTATATATATTTATACACACTGCTCAAAAAAAATTTAAGGAACACTTTGAAAACACATCACATCTCAATGGGGAAAAATATCATGTCAGATATCTACTGAATACTGGACTGGGTAATGTGTTGGGAACGAAAGGATGCCACATCGTTTGATGGAAATGAAAAATTATCAACCTACAGAGGGCTGAATTCAAAGACACCCCAAAAATCAAAGTGAACAAATGATGCAGCAGGCTAGTCCATTATGCTGAAATGTAATTGCAGCAACTCAAAATGGTATTCATTAGTTTGTATGGCCCTCATGTGCTTGTATGGATGCCTGACAATGTCGGGGCATGCTTCTAAAGAGACGATGGATGGTGTCCTGGGGTATCTCCTCCCAGATCTGGACCAGGGCATCACTGAGCTCCTGCACAGACTGAGGTGCAACCTGGCGGCATCAGATAGACCAAGAAATAATGTCCCAGAGGTGTTCTATTGGATTCAGGTCAGGCGAGCGTGGGGGCCATTCAATGGTATCAATCCCTTCATCTTAAAGGAACTGGCTGCAAACTATGAGGCCGGGCATTGTCGTGCACCAGGAGGAACCCAGGACTCACTGCGACAGCGCAGGGTCTGACAATGGGTCTAAGGATTTCATCCCAATACCCAATGGCAGTCAGGGTGTCATTGTCTAGCCTGTAGAGGTCTGTGCATTCCTCCATGGATATGCCTCCCCAGACCATCACTGACCCACAACCAAACCGGTCATGCTGAACGATGTTACAGTCACCATAATGGTCTCCACGGCTTCTCCAGACCCTTTCACGTCTGTCACATGTGCTCAGGGGGAACCTGCTCTTATCTGTGAAAAGCACAGAGCGCCAGTGGCCGACATGCCAATTCTGGTGTTCAATGGCAAATGTTAATCAACCTTCACAGTGCCGGGCAGTGAGCACAGGGCCCACTAGAGGACGTAGGGCCCTCAGGCCACCCTCATGAAGTCTTTTTCTGATTGTTTGGTCACCAGTGACCTGCTGGAGGTCATTTTGTAGGGCTCTGGCAGTGCTCATCCCATTCCCCCTTGCACAAAGGAGCAGATAACGGTCCTGCTGATGGGTTAAGGGCCTTCTACGGCCCTGTCCAGCTCTCCTAGAGTAACTGCATGTGTCCTGGAATGATCTCCATGCTCTTGAGACTGTGCTGGGAGACACAGCAAACCTTCTGGCAATGGCATGTATTGATGTGCCATCCTGGAGGATTTGGCATGCCTGTGCAACCTCTATAGGGTCCAGGTAACGCCTCATGCTACCAGTAGTGACACCGACTCTAGCCAAATGCAAAAATAGAGAAAAACAGAAATCAGAAAAGATGAGTAGGGAAAAAAAAATGTCAGTGGCCTCCACCTGTAAAACCATTCCTGTTTTGGAGGTTGTCTCATTGTTGCCCATCTAGCGCACCCGTTCATTTCATTAACACCAAAAGCAGCTGAAACTGATAAACAACCCCCTCTGCTAAAGCCATTTGAGGGGAAGGCGAGACCAAGATGCCTGTAAATGAGGCAATGTAGCGAAACACCATACCCCAGTAACTTTTAATGCTTTTGCAGGTCCAGAAGACGTGCATAATATTGCAGACTGAGCAGCAATCCCTCCTACAGAGGGGGGAGCGTGAAGGGTATATCTTAGAGAGACGATAAGGAGTGAAGTACCACCTCAGCATTATTTTCAGAGATATTTCCCAGTGAGACACGCATTTTGAACTTGAGGCATTAGCCTTACACGCCAAGGACCAGTCCTCATCCGTAAATGATTCGCCCAGGTCCTCTTCCCATTTGAACATAGCAGGCAGTTTCTATATGCTAATCAGCTGAAACCATGTGGGAAAGAAACTGATTTTTTAAGAAGGTGCTACTATGTAACTTCCTTGTTTTTCCCATTGGAGATTAATACGTGTATTTCAGATACCAGCGGACACCAAAGGATAATATGTTATATGAAACGTATTATCCTTTGGTGTCAGCTGATTAGCATATATGAATTATTTTATAATATAAAGCCATGTATGCAGAATTGGATATAGCTGTGCCACACTATACAGTGTTCTGGAGTCTGGGCATGTGCTCATCTATTTTCCCCACTAGGGGGATACAAGCCTTAGTTAGCAATAGCTACATAGTTATTTCTTTATTTAATGTCTTTTAAAAAAAATATATATACAGTTAAAACAGCATTTTTGTGCCCAGCCCCCATGCGGTGCTGCAGTACTAATAGAAAAATGATTTTGTTTCTGCCTGGAGATCCGAACCATTTAAATTACCCTTTACCCAGAACAGTGTATTATTGTATAGTGTGGCACAGCTATATCCAGTTCAGCATACCTGGCTTTATATTATAAGAACTTTATAATATAAAGCCAGGTATGCAGAATTGGATATAGCTGTGCCACACTACACAGTGTTCTGGTCTGAAGTCTGGGCATGTGCTGATCTATTTTCCCCACTATGGGGATACAAGCCTTAGTTAGCAATGGCATGATAAATATTAATTTCATGTTCATGTTCTTCATAAGATTAAGAAACTGACCTAAAATCATGATTTTGTATTGCTTTAGAAAAAATGTGACCTGTCCCTTTAAGAAAAAGCATCGGTAATTGGTATCGGCGAGTACTTGAAAAAAACTATCGGTACTCGTACTCTGACTTAAAAAAGTGGTATCGGAGCATCCCTAATTTTTATTGTTGCAATTAAACTAGTATTTTTACAATGCAATGCACTAAAATGAATTTTAGTAAAGACAAACTGAACATAATACCCAATTTTTTGGTAAAATATATAAGACTGGATTGTGCCGGGTAAAGTGATACCAAACATGGCAAGCCTGAAACTTTTGTGCACTCATGAAACTGCAGTACTTGCAATTGCCCATGGGCGCTGCTTTAAGAGCTTTTACCGCGCATCAATTTAGTGTTAACAATATATGATAGCTCTAGAATTATGGCTCTCACACCAATGCTCACGATGATATGCAACATGTACAGTGGGGCAAAAAAGTATTTAGTCAGCCACCAATTGTGCAAGTTCTCCCACTTAAAAAGATGAGAGAGGCCTGTAATTGGCATCATAGGTAGACCTCAACTATGAGAGACAAAATGAGAAAACAAATCCAGACAAATCACATTGGCTGATTTGGAACAAATTTATTTGCAAATTATGGTGGAAAATAAGTATTTGGTCACCTACAAACAAGCAAGAGTTCTGGCTCTCACAGACCTGTACCTTCTTCTTTAAGAGGCTCCTCTGTCCGGCACTCATTACCTGTATCAATGGCACCTGTTTGAACTTGTTATCAGTATAAAAGACACCTGTCCCCAACCTCAAACAGTCACACTCCAAACTCCACTATGGTGAAGACCAAAGAGCTGTCGAAGGACACCAGAAACAAAATTATAGACCTGCACCGGGCTGGGAAGACTGAATCTGCAATAGGCAAGCAGCTTGGTGTGAACAAATCAACTGTTGGAGCAATAATTAGAAAATGGAAGACATACAAGACCACTGATAATCTCCCTCGATCTGGGGCTCCACGCAAGATCTCACCCCGTGGAGTCAAAATGATCACAAGAACGGTGAGCAAAAATCCCAGGACCACACGGGGGGACCTAGTGAATGACCTGCAGAGAGCTGGGACCAACGTAACAAAGGCTACCATCAGTAACACACTACGCCGCCAGGGACTCATAGGGAGTTGAAAGTCCGTATTGCCCAGCGACAGCCCCAAAACATCACTGCTCTAGAGGAGATCTGCATGGAGGAATGGGCCAACATACCAGCAACAGTGTGTGCCAACCTTGTGAAGACGTACAGGACACGTTTGACCTCTGTCATTGCCAACAAAGGATATATAACAAAGTATTGAGATGACCTTTTGATATTGACCAAATACTTATTTTCCACCATAATTTGCAAATAAATTTGTTCCAAATCAGCCAATGTGATTTGTCTGGATTTGTTTTCTCATTTTGTCTCTCATAGTTGAGGTCTACATATGATGCCAATTACAGGCCTCTATCATCTTTTTAAGTGGGAGAACTTGCACAATTGGTGGCTGACTAAATACTTTTTTGCCCCACTGTAGCTGAATAGTACTTTTTGCACATAGGTGCAATTGATGCATGTTTGCATTTGTATGCGTGTATATGTGGGGGACTTTTTTGGGGGTTTTTTATGTGACTTTCCTTTTCTTAAAACTTTTTATTACACTTCAGGGGTCGATTAGACCCCCCTAATGACACCTATGGACTGTGGTGACAGCATGGACTGTGGTGATATTGACAGATTGTGCTTCATCAGCTTCTTCTCCAGCCACAGCCGGAGAAATAACAGGCTAAACCCGGAAGTGATGAAATACACATCTCCTCCAGTTTCCATGATCAGAGGAGAGATCAGCCACTGAAAGTGTGCTGATCTCCCCCCTAGTGAAGCGCAGACACTCGCTGTGCAGGTCTCAGTCCCGTATGGGGGACAGCGGAGCCTGGGATAGCTGGCAGGAGTGGCGGAGTGGGAGCACAGAACCCTTGTATGTGACAGCCAGGTGTCGGCTGTATCAAATAGTAGCAGCAGCAGTCGTGATCTTGGTATAACCATATCAGGACAGCACCATTTACATACATATTGTGGTCCTGAAGTGGTAAACCACAAACTGAAAGTTCAGAAAAGGTTCTTATTATTATAACATTTCATAGGCAATAGAAAAAAAAAAGGGGAAAAACTCACCCAAATGGCATCAGAAATGTTTTCTTTAATCAGCCGACTGAAGTCCCAACTTAGAATATGACATTCAGAGTTATCATCCATTTCCCATTTGTCAATACTGGTATCAGTGAGAGTGTATAAGCAATCTCCTTTATCCCAGAGGACACTGCGAAGCTGAAAACAAGACATATGGAAATTGCATAAACCACTAAACTAAAAGTAGCACATCAAAATTGAAGTATATCTCTCAGGCACTCAACACTTTGTGATTCAGTGGCCTAAGCATGTATAGAAGGAATCTCATAAATTTGACACCTATACTGTTTGTTCCAGGTCCCTAATTCAAATGTATTCAAGCCAGATACAAATAATTAACAAGCAATTTTAAAAAGGAGCCAATCAACAGTAGCTCTCAAACTTCTCTTATGAGAGGTAAATGTTAAATTACAATTTTCAGGACTTATAACTACCCGTTTAGAAGGAATTCTTAACAAGTCAAGGCTTCCAGGAGATAAAAATGCTCTTTCAACATTTCTTTCTTAGAATTAGATTTTTAAAAAAATCCAAACATGCATAATGCTGTAAACGGTGCATACAGGAGTAAAATGGCAAACAAACAATCTAGTGGGGATGTACTGTAAGAATTAGCATATGTACCAAAAAGACAACACAATACAAAACTTTATGTAACAAGCAGACGTGAATAAAAAGACCAGTTGTGTGCCTAGGGTTGCAAAGAATCAGATATTACAGTAAGGGTGTAAAATCAATTTTTCCCAGGTAGGGTAAAAGGCAGGGTAGGTGTTATGTTTCATAGCGAACATACGTTCATGAGGGCATTGTGTGTTGATCCAATAAATCAGATCTGTAATATTAGGTGAGGTCGGTTGGAGCCATCTACGGGTAATTAATGGTTTAGCTGCAAATACAATGTGAATAACAATAGTGTGGGCATCAGGTGGGAGGGTTTCAATGGTAATGTGTAATAAAGCGAGCTCAAGGCAGGGGAAGAGCGGTGACTTACGAGATGACATGGAAGACTCCATTCCAAAACATACGGAGGGACTTACAATGCCAACAAATGTGGCCCAATTAGTCAATTTCACCACAAAGTCTCCATCAAAGTGGGGAGTTGGAGCTAGAACATGTTGATAATGTATAGGGTGTATGATGCCCATTTGCCACATATTTACATGGCATGGCCCCATACAAACGTAGAGGTGTCCTAATTGGACTTTGGAAATCATTCAATTTTATATGTTGCAATACAGTTTGTGATCTTGCAGGGCAGATATCTGATTTTGACAGCACTACTCCATGACATGGAAGTCACTCTTGTGTCCTACTATGCCCCCAATAAAAATCAACTCCCCTTTTTTACCCACCTACTCTCTACTGTTCAATCCCGGATTCAATGGAATCATTGGTAGGGTAATCCTAGGTGGTGACTCAAATCTCACATTATATCCACATAGAGACAGATCGAAAGATTCCACCTAACCTTTGCACTCCTCGAAAGCTTTTCGATATCTTGTATCATGTCACTTGCTGACTGACTGCTGGTGGGAGGCTAACCCTATCAAAACGGATTATACTCATTATTCGCATCCTCACCAAATCTCGAGAATTGACCACATCTTTGCTCCGGTCTCCCTAATACCCTCAATCTCCAACTCACACAACTCCTGTTCCCAGGTCTGTTCACTCTGCAGTTTCCTTACTCCGTTTGAATATTTCCCCCAGAGGCAATAGCTTATCTTGGATGCTGAACGATTCTCTTCTTTCAGACCCTTTCGCTCCTCTATTTCTGCTGCTATTGTAGACTATTTGTCCAACAATCGTACTCCTGATACTTCCCCAATACTGCTCTGGGAAGCTCACAAAACTGTAATTAGGGGCCAGCTTATCTATCAAGCGTCAAAATTGAAAAGAGAACGGCTTAGACACCCCCGTGCTTTGGAGCAGGAATTCGGTATAGCCATGCAATCGTTTCACACTGACCCCTTGTAATGACTCCCGGCGGTTCACCCGTGTGACGTCACTGACGCGCCGTGGGGCTCCGCCCCCATCCTCGTCTTAAGCTGAGATCTTTCACTTGTCTGGCGTTCCAGCAACCGATGCGGACGCCAGACAGTCTCTTGCTCCTCAGCACAGCAGTGGACGACTTGGACTACCTCTCCTCAGACAGCTATTGTCTCACCCTTCAGCTCGGGCATACTTCATGGAGCTTCACGACAGCCTCCTCATCCACACCAACACTCACTGACCGAGTGGGAGGAGCTGCATCCTGCACAACCAACTGCAAGTACTGTGAATAGCTATTTGCTGCCATCCGGTGGTAGATCATTGTATGGGCTTGCGGTATTAACAAACACTGTAGCCTTGTACTGAATAACCTAACTCTCAGAACTCCTATTACAATATGCACAATACCGTATTGTGAAGTTAACAGATTGTTTACACTGCCTCCCCCTGTCCGCTTGTCAGGTGCAGTGAATTAACTCACCTGTATAACGAACTACCAATAGCATTTCGCTCAGGCTGCTGCTTGTAACCAAACCTCTGTTACCACACCACCTTCTGGACCTGCTAGCTATATACCCATTACTCACTATCCTCATAGCTAAGGGAACTAAACCTCTATACCTACGCACATTACCAGGGCATCCAGGAGACCTACTTCAGGGAGATTGGTGCAATGATGCAGAGGAACTAGTGGCGAGATAAACATTGCTACATAGTACCCTTGGCCTTGGGTGTGTAACGCGGAACGGGGTTCCGCAGCTGAGCTCCATATCCCTCCTTAGTTAGGGTGTTATACCCCTCTCCTAACAAGTCAAAGCTAGAAAAGGTATGTTGACACCTCAATTTATTGCTAACATATCACGCTGAAAAGCAATTACATTGTACTGCCCATAAGTATTACATTAAGAAAAATAAAGCTGGTTCTATGTTGGCAGATAAACTTGGCTCCCTAGACCCCGCCTTCAAACCTGTTAAATTACACACGAGCAACGCATGTTTTACATATAACCCTACGTCCATTCTAGATATTTTTTTAAACGCCAATTGTCCAAGCTTTATTCCTCCCTGCACCATTCTCATCTACTCTAGCAGACCAGACCTTTAATAATCTCCCCCTTCCTCCTCTTTCCCCTGACCAGCTAACTTTTGACACGCCCATTACAGAAGATGAGATAACATTTGCTATTCAATCCCTCCATCCACACGAAAACCTGGTCCTGATGTCTTCTCTGCCTCATATTATAAGGAATTTGTTGATCTCGTAAACTCCAATTTTGACCATTTTGTTCAACCGCATCCGTGTAGGTGCTTCTTTTGGTAGAGACTCTCTAGCCGCCTCTATTTGTATGATACCCAAGCCTAACACTGAACACTCTAATTTCCGGCCTATATCCCTTATTAACGTCGACATGAAAATAATGGCCAAAGTCTCATCTCATCGTCTGAATGGCTTGACAGGCTCGCTGATTGATAAAGACCAAGTGGGCTTTATTCCTACACGCAAAGCTAGTGACAATATTCGCAGAATTGTCCACCTTACCAATTCTGCCAGAAATCAACGAACCCCTGCCATGTTACTCTCTCTAGACATTAGAAAGACCTTTGACACCCTTTTCTGGCCCTACCTTATCTATACTCTCTGCCGTCGCGGTTTTGGACCTCATTTCCTACAATGGATTTTCTCCTTATACAACTCTCCTATGGCTCATATTAAATATTCAGGATTTCAAATGGCCTCACTTAACATTCATAGAGGTACTAGACATGGTTGTACTCTTTCTCCCAGTCTTTTCGCCCCTCAGATTGAACCTTTGGCTTAACTTAAAAGATTGGATGTTAATATTTCAGTTTTGTAGCTTGCTGGTAAAACACACAAATTATGTCTCTTTGCGTACGACACCTTGCTACTTCTCACAAACCCTCTTGTCTTGCTCCCCAATCTCATGCACACCCTCTACAATTTTGAACTCCTGTCTGGACTAAGCATAAATTAATCGAAATCAATAGCTTTAAATGTCTCCTTCCCTTTGGCTACTCTTTCCTCCTTGCAGCAATCCTACAACTTCCAATGAAATTCCACCTCCCTTCCCTGCCTCGGAATAAATCTGACTGCTTCATACCATTCCCTTTATGCAGCTAACTATCCTGTTATGCTAGCTAAACTCAGGAATTTAATGTCAATATGGACAAACTATCATCTTTCCTGGCTGGGGAGAATTTCAGCAATAAAAAATTACACTCCTACCCAAATGATACCTCTTTAGAATTTTAACTATCCCTATACCCACCCATACTCTTAAAACTTTCTAATCTCAGAACACTAGGTTTACCTGGGCACATAAAACCCCAAGAGTCCCATATAATACTTTATTCCTTCCAAAATCCCAAGGGGGTCCAAGCGTCCCAGACATACACAAATATTATATTGCAGCCCAGATTAGCCCATTAACCAAATATAGCGTGATGGTTGAAATGCTCTCATTCTTTCCAAACCGTCTTTCACACCGGCACTAGACTCCCCTACAGCCTTTGCCTTCTGGTATGATCATAACCTTACCCGTTTATGGCACTTCCAAATGGACTCTGGCTTTGAACCCTTATTCCATTTAGAGGATCGTTATCAGATCCCAAGCAGGGAAATTGTTAGATACTTACAAATAGCCGACCACATTTCCAAAACGGTTAGATTCTCACAATCGCTCAAGAAACTATCCCCTTTTGAACTTAAATGTAGGGACAACCCACATAGCCCAGGCTTAATATTTCTATTATATTCCTCCCTGGTAATGGCAGCATTATCCCCATCATCCTACATTGGGAAATGGGAAAAGATCCTGGTATTGTCCTAAATTAGGATGACTGGTACCACATGTGGAAGTCCACCAAAACCTGTTTGTGTAGTGCAAACGTGCTGGAAATTAACTGTAAAGGTCATCTTTAGAGATGGCACATGGTGCTCACCAGACTTGCTACCTTTGCACCTGATTGCTCTGCCTTGTGCTTCAGAGGATGCTCAAACCCAGGCACCTATTTCCACACCTGGTGGGAATGTCCTGTGGTGTCCATATTTTGGGATTAGATATTCTGCATCCTCAATACCTTATTGTTAATGACTCATCATTTGCACGTCTTAATAACATTCTGACTTCTTTCTCTACATTTCTACGTAGACTGTTTTTATTTGTACTCTCTGCAGCCAAACGGGAAATAGTAATATCCTGGAAATCTCCCAATGTTACCATATCCAAAGTAAAAAACAGTATGTAACGTGGATTATGACCCTTGAAAAAAGATCTGCGAAACTAATAACACAACGTTGAACTTGAACAGTATTTGGTCCCCTTGGGTTCGACATTATCTGCCACCTAACTTCAACCAGCGATTACACACCATTTAATAGATTATTTAGTCATATTTTGTGTCTCTCATTCACCATTTGCAGTCTGACTATCTTTTGACCTTTTCTTTTTCTTTCTCCTCTTTCCTACTCTACTTATTTTCCACAGTTCTCATCTTACAAATCCTGGTGCACTTGTATGATGTATTTACTATAGATTGCCTCTTGTCCATCATGTATGCACGTTTATGCTTCCCATTGTACATAAAATACCATCTGTAAGGCTCCACCTGATTGTTCGGGACATAACGTTTGCTTAAGTATTCACGCAATTGTACACTTGGTTCCTTCTTTCTTTCCAATACGGGATACCTTGCTTCAACCTTCAATCCGTGTTTTATACTTTGTTTAATGTATGTAAGCCAGGTTATGCCTATCGCATGCACTTTGTGAAAAATGTTAACATGCAATTAATTTATTTTTTTAATTGAATATTTTTGAATATTTCTGTATTCTATGTTAATTTTCTTCGGTAGTCTTAATAAAAACATGTAAAGTTAAAATCATATATTTTTGATGACACTGGAAGTTGAATTTCTAAGTAGGGAATTGTTGCTGTAGCCCACACATATGGGAATGTGGACTGTAAAGTAGTTTTCATAGGAGGGATATGGAGACCTAGAAGTTGGGACTTGTTATGGTTTATTTTGTAAAAAGAGACTTCAGCAAGTTGATAGAGTAGTTGTTGACAACGAGGAGTGAGGAAAGTGGACATGTAAGGGGAAAGGACCACATAGTTTGCAAACATACCAATCTTACTGATTGTAGGGCCTAATGTGATGCCCTGGATATGGGGATGTGAACAGATAAGATATGCAAGTGGCTTCATTATCAAAAACAAATATAAGCCAGGCTTATTCTGCCTTTAAAGCTAACCCTACGCTAGAACACATGGCTCTCTGGACTAAGGCCAAAAGGGTAATATGAAGTCCTGCTACACCGCTATGATCTCCATACTAAATCTCTGAGGGAGCTAAAGTTCCACAAATTTGGAAACAAATGTGGTAAATTACTCGCCAACTTAGTTAAACCACGTCAGTATCCCTACCCGATCCAATGCTTAAAAAACCCTCAGGGACAAAGTTAGCGATCCTAAACAAATGAACATCCTCTGACAATCCTTCAATCGTTGTACACCTCTCAAACTGCACCAGTGGATCACTCTACATCCCCCTTCGATAACGCCCCCCTTCCAACCCTTTATGAATCCCAATTATCCTCCCTTAATGCTGCTATTTCAGAGTCCGAAGTTTTACATACTATAACTTATTTATCCAATGGCAAAGCCCCAGTGCTTGACGGGTACACTGCAGAACTTTATAAGCTTTTGAAGACTCTATTATCCTCTACACTCCACAAGGTATTCACCCAAATGTGGTCCACTGGATCCTATTTGCCCACAGGGGAAGAAGCTTATATTAAGGTACTCCTGAAAACAAAGAGATCCTCAGTTACCGGAATCATATAGAGCAATATCTTTGATCAATGTTGACTCTAAAATACTCTCAAAAATCTTAGCGAATAGATTAGCCTCTATTATGCCCCAAATCCTTCACTCTACCCAAGTAAGGTTTACCAGGGGTAGAGTGGCGGTAACTAACATTTGTAAAGTATTGGCAGTACTAGAGCAATGTTCCCTTGTCCCTGGGGAGGGCTGTGCCATGATGTGCTTTTGATCACGTCAGACATGATTGGCTTTTTCTAATTCTCTACAAAATGGGTTTTGTGTGCCCTTTTCAACAACTTATACAAGCTATGTATAACTTCTCTACGGCAAGGGTTTTTATCTTCCCCTATTATTCTACATCAAGGCACACGACAGGAATGCCCATTATCCCCTTTACTATTCAATTTGGCCATTGAGCCCCTGCCGAGATGGTTGGTATTTAAAGCTGATCTAAACGGCATTATGGTGGGAAGGGAGGAACTATGTGCAGCCCTTTTTGCTGATAACCTGTTAATTCACCTCTAGGGTACAAGACAACATGTTGTGACAAGATTAGCCTATGGGCAGACATTTTATGCATCTTAGTAGGTTAGAGGATTTCCTTAGATTTACAGGAACTTATGTAACCAATATTCTTGTGTAATGTTTCCTTGCCCACTCCTTTGGAATGTACCATTTTGGGAGTATGCTTCTGTTCTTGTCATAATCAGTTACATAAAATGTCCACTGTTATCTATCCCAGTACCTGTCTGCAACATGCTATTCTACACACATCTGTTTGTTTCACCCTATAAAAACTTGCAGCACTTATCAATAAACAGAACAGCTTGATTACCGAGCCTGAACTGTTCTGTGTGTACACATACTGGATTTCGATGCATGACTTGGGTTCTTCTGTCATAACAATTTGGCGAGCTGAGAGCCAGGAGTTGGACTGAGTTGTCAGGCCAGCGGTAAGAAGACCATGGACTGTGTTAAAAGTGCATATCTTGTCCTAAA